GACCTTTTATTTGAGTTATCTGCAAGAGTCTCGCAACCCCCCAAAATCTATTCTATAGAGTTATTGAAAATGGTATGCAATTGAAAACATTTGCGAAGAAACGAAGAGGTGGTATTTTAATGTGTATGGCTGGGTATACACTATGCCTATTTGAACCCCGTTAAAACTCTTGGCTGGGTGTAAAAAATGGCATACCTCGAAGGTGTAATCAATCAATCTCGATCTTCCATCCTCCATGGCGACCGCCCCACGCCCACGCCCACCAGACGCCCAGCTCCTCCTCAGTGCCACAGATACCTGATTCAGAGCCAGAAAAACAAGTGAAAATTGATCACAAAGTGTGAAGACAACCGCTCCTTGATAGTTGCTTGTTCAACATCTTCGGCTCGCCAGGCTGGGTTCGTCGATGAGCCGGCTATTTTATATGTTTCTCAGATCTGGGTTCTTCCTCCCCCACTCCAATACCAAGGCCTAGTGGGGGATAAAGAGTGGAGGGATCAAAAAAAGCATTAGAGTTTCCCAAAAAAAAAAAAAATGAGTGCAAAAACACAAGTTGCTGCATCTTTGACCCTTCAAAAGCTGGAGCCAACATCAGCATGTCAGAGGATGAGCTGAGAGGAGGTGAAGTTCACACAGAAGGCGGACATTTGCGCGGGTACTTCTAATGTGTGCATCGACAGCTCGCCCCATGGTTCTCTGGATTACTTGAGCATGTTTGTACCCTGGTCGCTCTCAAGCCATTAATTCAACCTAAAAAACGAATGTTGTAGGGTACAGGAACATCAACCGCGTTGTTTGTCACAACACCCCAAAAATAGGCTCATGTTTCCCCGGAGGATGTTCTGATTTTGGCGAAAGTGATGGAGGAAAATCAAATGCAGCAGCCAAAAGGGAAGCAATAAGCAACCAGGGGTCAAAGGTCGATCAAGGCCATCTTTGAATGGCGTCGGCATCCACACAGCCAAAGTCAAGTTTTTTTTTTTTTGTTTTTTTTTTTTTTTTGGTTTGGTTTTTTGGTTTGGCTCAAGCCCCATCGCCAGTATCTTCGATCTGGTACGATTCAGGTTAGGCGATACACCAAAGCGATTGGACACTCCACATGATAGGTTACCAGCGGATCGACCTTTCAGTTTACCATCCGCCAAAATTGTTGTTCTCTTTTCGTATCAGACCTGACTTGCATGAGTGCGGGTACCAGATAGTTGTGGGACGGTTCCGTCAACTTATATACCGTATCCCAGTGCTTCACGGGCCTCGCCAGCAAACATATAACACTTCAAGGTACCACTTTAGCAGCCGAGGCTCGATGCATGGATCAATGTGGATAGGTCACCAAGATTTATTGGAACCCGAGATCCTCTGAGCGTTTGGGTTCTTACCGTTCTCTGATTATATCGTCCAAGTCTCTTGTGCTCTCCGGTACGAATCGCCATTCCTGTCAACAAATGTCCTCAAGGGTCCCCCGACGCAGGAGAGATTCTAGTTTAATCCGGAAGCTCTTGAGGTCAACATCGTCTCGTTTTAGAACACTACTGGGATCTACTGACCGCAGAAAGACCACCCGGAGGTATTCAGTTTC